ACCTTTAGCTTCTGTTTTTATCCTTTTAATTTTTAGACTGCAACTAAATTTCAACTAAGTGACTTTTTTTCCTAATTCACATTTGTAGCTCCCGAWTTGTTGTTTCAAGTTTTAGCCTAGCTTTGCTAAATTAGCTTTTAGCTGCAGAATTGCTAATTTAGCTTATGGCTACAGTTGTTTAAATTTTAGGTTTTAGCTGCTGCAGTGTCACCAGATCCACCCTGTGGCTCCAACACTTCCTGTCAGCTGCAGATCACTTCCTGTCAGCTGCAGATCTTCATGTCATCATTTTTGGCTCTTTCAGCTAAACACCGAGTTCTGCTCCGCAGCCGAAATGACACAGAGCAGGCAGAGCTGAAGGTTGGCCCGTGGAGCCGAGCTGTCTGCTTCCTACAGATTTACACAACAACACCTCTGTGTGTCCTTGGTAATGGGACTGTTTGTGCGCCTGACACTGTTTGTGTATCGCTCTCTGCTCGTGTGTGTACGTTAGGCGACGACTTGACGGAGTGCAACAGGAAAAGTTCGGCGCTGCATTCTCCGCTCGTTATTTCCCATCCTTGGAGATGCGAAGCACAAATACACCTGCGYGCGCACGAAGCATGCGCAGTATGCAACACGTGCATGGAGTCGTGTGAGGGAGCGTGTTGTGTGTTCGGCAGAGATCGTTGGTGTTTGTGTTAAATCAGCAAAACGTTCCTGTTGGGTTTCAGCTGAATTAAAGCCAGCAGTGGCTCCAGGTTTTAWGGACCAACTGAAAACCAATTAAGAAAAATGAAATTCGAAATGGAAATCAGTTGTTTTCCTGTAATTTGACCATCCAACCTAAACGACACCAAGACAGAACAGATACCAGCTGATAATGGAGAGAGCGCTCTGATTGGCTGGAGCTCGGCTCGTTAACCGTTTGAGATGGGCAACACCYTTCAAGCAGTCCATCCTCCACTAAAACAAGTTCAAGTTGTAAAAACAGTTCAGTTTACAAAAACAAAAAGTATGACACCACAGCCCCGCCTGGAGGGAATACCTAAGCTATGATTAGCATGTTAGCTATGATTAGCATGTGAGCTATGATTAGCATGTTAGCTATGATCGAGTCAGAGTCTGTGTTTCCATTGTAAATGTGCGCAAAACTTTGTCGATGTTGTGTTAATGTTGAAAAAACAGTTTCACAACTGCAGTGTTTCCATTAAGTAATAAATGTTATTAAAGTCACGCCTGAATACGTTTGTTCTCATGATAAGTCATTACAAACATGGCAGCGATGGATGTAAACACGTAGCATGTTGCTACCACGACACTAGCGCTCATCATCAGAGGAGACGTCGGCGTCTTTTATCGAGGCTTTCCAGAGACAAGTCCCTACTTGGGAGCGGCTACGTATGCTGTGTTTTTGGGAAATTGTAGTCGGTGAGTTTTCTATTTTATACTACTTCTGTGATATTACTACTACTTCTACTTCCTGTTATCTTCTTCATCATCGTCTTTTTCACCAGTAGAAACAGACGGTTGTTGATCACGTGACTCCTGTGATGTGAAAAAARTGTTTCCATTGCAGTTTTGCGAAAAACACCAATTTTGATACGGCCGAAAAAACACCTCATCCTAGTGCAAAAACATTGTCGAAAAACATATTTTTTTTCGAAACTGACGTGTTTCYATTGAGCAAATTTATTTTAGAAATTCTAATTTGTGCATTTTCATGGTCAATGGAAACACAGCTTATGAAGACCCCAAACACACCTCAAGAGTGAGAGTGATTTGTATGTAAGCTCATAATGTGCACTTGTTTCTGTTCTGTTATTTATTTTTTAACTTTAATGTATGTACTTTTTAACTTCCACAGGGCTGCAGGTACAAAATTATCTGATAGCTGTAATCTGGTATAGTTTTACTTAAATGAGTTTAATGTTTTTCCACGTGGTCCCTGACAAACAACTAAACCAAGAAAAACTGAGCAACTCACTGATGTTTCAAACATCAGAACACCACAGTTTCTGTTTGAACTGGAAAATATATAAATCCAGATGAAAAAAGAAGTCTTGTTGATTTTATGATAAACTTTATCACTTTTGATTGGTGGCTATTTCATAATGTGGGAACATTTTCTACTTACACGAATATATTTTAGAGCAGAACTCATTTAAGGGCCAAATGAGCATTATGGTTGTAATTTACTTCAGTTAAACACAAAACATCACATTCCTCACCTGATTACAGCTGAGCACCGCTAACAGTTGCTAACTGAGCTCTACCTGGTATTTCCTGTATAGAAACAGCATTTTAACACATCCTCTAATAAAAAAAAGTACAGCATACGAATGACTAAAGTATAATAGATAAAACAAATACAGCTGAGTTGTGAGTAGCTGCCGTCTTGATCTCTGAACTTTCCCACTTTCCTACAGGGAATTCCTACTGTAAAGAGTGTTTTGGTTTAAATTTACGACTCATAAATGGGAAATCCAGTCCAGCTGAAGTAGATGGCAAAAATGCAAAAGGATATTTTACACAAAATATGTATTTGTGAACCCTGTGCAGCTTCACCTCATGGTGGCATATCGACATGCATGATGGGAGATTTAATTTTATTTGGTCATTTCTGGCTTTAAAGCACTTGTTTTCACACAAATGCATCTTTAAATCTCCCGCAGGCCCCATAAAATGTTGTGGCGGGCCACATTTGGCCCACGGGCCTTAAGTTTGACATGTGTATTAGTGAAAGAAAAATTTCAGCGTGTTTTAAAGCTTCTGCTGCTCTAATCCTCTCAGACTTGGACTAAAGCTGCTCCGATGAACATTTGAAAAGTTAGAAACCAAAACACCAAACGGGACAGGATTTAATTTTTTTTCTGCTCTTCGGAGCAACTGGAAACCTCGCCGGTGCTCCTTTAAGTCAGACTGATGCTTGAATGGGAGGGAGGGAGGAACAGATGGATTGATGCATGAACAGATCCGCGGGGATTTGGGATTTGCGTGGAGCAACAGAGCTGAAGAACGGAGCTGGAACATGAAGTTCCCTCAGACGGTGAAGTGTTCGGTGTACTTCCTGCTTCATCTGTTCACACTCACTCCGCTGAGCTGCATCTCTAACCCCCGCTGTTTTATTGTCCTAATCTCCTCATTATTATCGCTAAAGTAGCTCAGATTAATGTCCTCCGGGACTCGGCCACTCCTTTTTTGGTCTGGGAAGGACCACTGACTCATCACACTTCAATTTGTGCAATTTCTGTCCCTTTGTGTCAAACTCTGGCAAAAGAACTCCGCTCRGTCTCAAGATGTTTGTGCTCCGGAGCAACACGGAGGGAGGTGACATCACTGAGGCAGGAATGCTCCAAGGGAGAAGAAAATATACATAAAAAAAGGCACAAAGTGGGAAAATCGTGTAAGGAAACTGGGAAAAGAACATAAACTAAAAGTACAAAAGAAAAGATCAGAAACAGGATCGTTTTTAGTGAATTATTCTCTGATTCTATGAAAAACCAGAAAAGTTTAATTCGTTTCATAGAAACAACTTCGAGTTTAAAGCTGAAAATGTGTCAATTTGTCATTTCAAAACTAAAAACAGAGCTTGCTCCTCTGCAGAGTTTAACACTGATAACAGCGACTCCTAGTGGCCGTCTGAGAAGAAGAATTCAGATTTTAAACAAAACTTGATCCAGAGAGTAGAAATGTTCAGAGCTGCTGTGGAAACCTTCTCAGATTCGACTCAGATGAGTTCAGTCAGCTGCTCTGCAGGCTGCAGGCTCACAGGGGGGGGGGGGGGGGGGGGGGGGGGGGGGGGGGGGGGGGGGGGTTTAGGGCACAATATTCCATTATTGTTGCAGGAAACATTTACTTTTCAACTTCATTTCATGCATTCTGGTTATTTGTCAGCTATGCATGAATTATACTAGACAGCAAACCCTYCTGCTACCCTYGGGTCAAACCTGAGACGTTTGCCATTTAAACCCTTAAATAAGCATTCATTAAAAGAAAAACTGTAACTAAAGAAAAGCACTGACTTCACTTGTTATCTGTGATGCTAAAAGTAGCAGAATCAGCTAAAAGTGGCTTAAAGAAGAGAAACAGAGGTGGATTTAAAAGAACGTTTTTGCAGTAAGTGAAAAAATCTCAGTTCTCTGGAGAAAATATTTGTAAATTAAGTAAAATTAAGTTTCTAAGTTACAAACAGACGTCCATCATCAGGAGCTGAACGTTTTGATCTGTGAAACTTGATTCTGTTTGAGACGAGGGAAACTCTCAGGACTGATGACAGATACTAATTTTGTTTTTGAGTAAATAAAAACTAAACTAATGATTTAGGATGAATTTTAGAAGATGGTAACTCTCAGAGGTGATAAAAAGTATAAAATTATGTTAAGTTCCTTCTGAGTATGGCAGCTACTGAGGTGAAAGGTATAATTTAGTTTCAGCTGCCCCCCTTAACCCCCCCTTAAAACCGCCCCTGCACAAAGAATCAGTTTCCTTGTTCACAACTGATTTTTGTATCAGAAGTCACAGAAGTTCACTAAACTTAAACAATGAAGCTTCAGAAATGTAACATTGAGCTTGAATTAAGTAAAAAATGAAAATAAATTGTGATGAATCGGCTCAAACTTCTCATGTTGCTTCAAAAATCACATGAACACGTGCTTCCTGTCACTTTAACAAGTGTTTCTATTTGAAACTGATTTAAATATCATGTGCAAAACACTTGCTTTGTACTTTACTTCTTATAAAACGTTGCTAAAGTTAGAAAACCAACGTGTTTTACTTTGCGAGCTCCGCAGCTCTGCCTGGTTCTGTCAGGATCAGCAGCAGAACTTGTTGGGTTTTGTAAATAAAGCTCTGCAGATTTGGAGGAATGTTTTGTGTTGCTCCTGGTTGACATCAGGGGTGAAAGAGTGATCCTCCTCCTCCTCCTCCTGCAGGAGGAAAAAAAAAAAAAGAAGAAGCAGTTTGGCCTCCTGCCAGGCTGTGGAACAAGTGCGCCTCCCTTCTCCTGCTGTTTGGGGGTTTGGCTGCATGTTTTTAAAAAGGCAGGCAGGTCTCCAGTTGATCAGTCTGCTCAGGAAACTTGTGCAGGAGAAAGTACAGAAGACCTGACTCTGAAACGGACAGAACTTCTTTGGTTTTTGATCCTTCTTGTTTTTGCTCCTGCAGCTTCAGAGGACCTTACTTCAGAAATAAGAATAATAAAAAAGCACATTTCTTGGTGTTTAATTCATTGTGCAGACAGAAAAGCCAGGCTTTCTTCATGTTTCTCAGCAGATAGCAGCTCCTGGATAAAGACTTGGCTTTAACTGTAAAAATCGGATTATCTGACAGACTTTGTCCATCAGAGCTCCCTCCTCCTCCTCCTCCTCCTCCTCCTCCTCCTCCTCCGAGCCTCTCCGGGCTTTTTATGCTCCAAGCTGAAGATGTTTGGGAGTTTCTGCCTCTTGGTGACCTTCATCCTGGGGGTGTCCCGGTCCTGGGGCTCGTTCGTGCCCTGCGAGCCCTGTGACGACAAGGCTCTGTCCATGTGCCCCCCGGTGCCGGTCAGCTGCCAGCTGGTGAAGGAGCCCGGCTGCGGCTGCTGCCTGACGTGCGCGCTCACCGAGGGGCAGGCGTGCGGGGTCTACACCGGGACCTGCACCAAGGGGCTCCGCTGCCTGCCCCGGAGCGGCGAGGAGAAGCCCCTGCACGCGCTGCTCCACGGCAGGGGGGTCTGCACCAACGAGAAGGGGTACAAACCTGCCGCCCAGCCTGCAGGTAAGACCGGCTGCAGGACGCACGAGAGGCGGGGGGTGGGGGTGGGGGGGTCCTGTTTGGTGCTTTTCATCCATCCGCGACTTTATCATCATCATCATCATAAAAAAAATCAAAATAAAGAAGTTCACGAGGCAGAAACACCTGATTACCTTCAAACTGCAGCAGCTTACTGCAGATAGCACAGAGCCCTGTAGTTAACAGACAGCATCTTACCTGTTTCAGATAGCATTGCTTTGGGAAAAAAATGCTTTAACTTTCAGACAAGACTCCAATTTGTCACAAATTAATGTAAAAATTTAAGAAATGACCCTTTTTTTTTAGTCTCAGTTCCTCTCAGAAGCCAGGGTTTGACCGGTTTGTTGCAAAAATTTTACCAAAATGTTTCGAAAATSTCTCAAAATGTTTGCAAGGACACTCAGTTACCTCTGGCAAGTCTCGGGAATTTTAAACTCTTCAAATTCCTCCCTGAAAACAGTGTCAGAGTCACTACGGGTGCCTGCTCAGCTGTTCAGTTTCTGTAATCCCAAAAGCATTTTTAAAAAGTCAACATTTGTGCAAATTTCACCAAGAGTTCAGACCAAAGCTTCAGTRAAAAGTATGCATTTGCTTCACAGCTCAGTGAAAAAAATAGGTTTATATTTCCRTCCGTTCAGATTTAAACTTTGTMTTATCAGGTAAGATATTWMTTGTTTCAGGACCTCTCTCTAAAWCTCTTCAGAAATTCAGGACCRTCCCTTTAAAAACAAGAGCAGCCTGCACAGCTTCATTCTGTTGTATATTTACATTTCAAGGCTAAATTAATAACAGAATGATGTTCCTGTGAGTTTTGTGCTTTAAAGTGACAAAGCTTTAAACATACGGATTCATTTATGCAAAGAATTAAACCAAAAAGTGTCTAATTCTAGTGTCATTCCAACATGTTTGTTAAGTTCAGCTGCCTCTCGCATTGTACCTTTTTTTTTTTTGTACAAACTGTCTTCGACTTTTATCACCTTCTCAGTGACTTCAGGCTTGAAGCAGCTTGTGTGTGAAGGAGTGAGGTGCTGCGTCTCTCTCCATGGGTCGTGTTACACCAGAATTTATACAGATTTAGTCCCACAGGCAGCCCTCAGGGTGGTGTTTAGAGTCGGATTACCTCTAAATCTGCATGCGTGAGAGAAAAGAGGAGAAGACAGGGAGACAGAGGGAGAGGAAACCAGTCGTCTCAAATCATTTAGGCTTATTTTCCTCTCAGTGCAGCAGCTCCACTGTCACTCAGGTGTTTTAGCATCTTATCGGCTTGTAGGTAAACTGTTCAGCAGCTCTCGCCTCTTCATGACTCATGAAGCTGAATCTGATCCGGCTGTAAAATGAATCTGAAGCTGTGCAAAGAACTGATCACTATCTGATGATATAAAGGTGGACCACCTTACTGTGTGTGTGTGTCGTGTGTGTGTTTGTGTTAAACTGAAGAATCTGTGTGCCGACTCTCACGTATGACTTGGGCGGGGCCATGTGGGTGTCTGTGTTCATTGTGTTGACACTCAGCCAGTTTAGTCTCATTCTCCCTCAGCAGTGAAAATATTATTTTAACTTCATCARTCAGAATCCAGTCACTTTCTGCTCCTCATAAAAAACAACCTCATTTTTTAAAATTATTCTTCACAGGAGAATTGACCATCTCTAGTCTGCGGCCAATATATTATGCATCACAATACCAACGACATGATTCATTTAACATACAAAAAGTCATGTTATTCAGGCTTTTATCACAATACAATACAGGTTTTGATTATGATGCAGGTTTTTATCATGATACGATACAGGCTTATGGTACGACACAGGCTTACATCACAATACAGGGTTTTATAATGGTACGATACAGGCTTACATCACGATACAGGGTTTTATCGTGGTACGATACAGGCTTATGGTACGACACGGGCTTACATCACAATACAGGGTTTTATAATGGTACGATACAGGCTTACATCACGATACAGGGTTTTATCGTGGTACGATACAGGCTTACATCACGATACAGGGTTTTATAATGGTACGATACGGGCTTACATCACGATACAGGGTTTTATCATGGTACGATACAGGCTTACATCACGATACAGGGTTTTATCGTGGTACGATACGGGCTTACATCACGATACAGGGTTTTATCGTGGTAAGATACGGGCTTACATCACGATACAGGGTTTTATCGTGGTAAGATACAGGCTTACATCACAATATTGTGGTACGATACAGGCTTACATCACGATACAGGGTTTTATCATGGTACGATACAGGCTTTTGGTACGATACTGGCTTACTTCACGATACAGGGTTTTATTGTGGTACAATACAGGCTTACATCACGATACAGGGTTTTATCGTGTTACGATACAGGCTTTTGGTACGATACAGGCTTGCATCACAATACAGGCTTTTATCGTGATACGATACAGGCTTTTGGTACGATACAGGCTTACATCATGATACAGGGTTTTATCATGGTACGATACAGGCTTACTTCACAATGCAGGGTTTTATCGTGGTACGATATAGGCTCACGTCACGATACAAGATTTTATCATGTTACGATACAGGCTTACATCACGATACAGGGTTTTATTGTGGTACGATACAGGCTTACATCACGATATAAGATTCTATCGTGTTGTGATACAGACTTGCATCATGATACAAGATTTTATTGTGGTACAATACAGGCTTGCATCACGATACAGGGTTTTATCGTAATACGACACATGTTTACATCATGTTACATTGTTTTATCATGGAATGATACAGGTTTACATCACGATATAGGGTTTTATCGTGGTACAATACATGCTTACATCATGATACAGTCTTATCATGATATCATACAGTTTTATATCCCGATACATGGTATCATTGTGGTACGATACATGTTTATATCACGATACAGGTTTTTATAATGGTATAATATAGGGTTTTGGTAGGATAAAGTCTTATCAAGATATGATTCAGGCTTTTATAACAATGCAGGTTTTTTATCGTATGATACAGGCTTTTGGTACAATACAGGCTTCTATCACGATATGAAACGGGCCTTTATCATGATACAAGCTTTTTTTATGAAACAGGCTTTAATCACAATACAGGTTTTAATGATGATACAGGTTTTTATCACAATACAGGCTTTTATCATGATACAGGCTTTTACYGTGATATGATACAGGCTTCAACCATGATACAATACTGCCAATAATCATAATATAATTTAACCTTTAACCACAATTCCTGCAAACATAATGTGATCATTTGAGAAAAGCAATAATCATGCATTAAACTATTTCTATTACCCAAGTTTGTTCAAGGCAAAGTCTACAGCAAGAAACATTAAAACATCGATGACCTTTCCACAGAACCCCACTTCAAAAGATCTGCACTACYCCTTTAATACTGTGCTCAGAATATTTCCTGGTAACTTTACTGTGTCAGCTTACTGTATGAGGGCAGAAACACTTAATGTGCTGCCAGACAGTCTGCACTACAAGGTTTTTTTTCTTGTGTCACTCGGCCTTGTCATTAATATTTACAATCAGAGGTTTAAATAACTACAGGCCTCTAATAATCATATATTGCATGAGAGTTTCATATATGCACTGTAGTCCCTCTGTTGTGTAGCTTCTAATCACCAGGAAAGAATTGCATGTCATCACTTACTTTAGGAGAGCTGTTTGACTCTGAGTGTTACCATCTGCTTTCTGCGCTCACATCATCACTGGCAACAGCTGCTTACCGAGTCCGAGCAGAGGCTGGGGGGAAAAAAGAGAGAAAGAAAGAAAATGGGAAAAAGCTGATTGTCTCTGACTGTGCAGTAAGACTAATAAGCAGTCGGTGTTGCAGCCTCTCAGACGTGACGTGTTAGAGACGTGGCTTCACGGTGGGCTCTGTTTGAAAACAGAAGCTGCTCTGTTCAGGAGCTGCAGAACTTTAAGGATGAAATCTGCAAGCTGACCTGTCAGCTGGAGGATTTACACCACCTGTGCTTTAACTGGGCTATTACCAACGTCTGGGTGATCATGTAACCTCTCACTGCAGGTAAAGTGCCAGCAGCCAACAGAAACACGACTTTGACTCTGTTTACATTTTGCTCCTGGATGTTCAGTGCACCCAGGACCTCTCTGCTCTCCTCAAACAGCTGCTGCTGCGACTCGAAGCGAGTCAGAAACTCGTCACACCCAGCAATTGTGTTGTGGTGGCGGTGACCCGAAAAGACGTTGCATGCATGCGTGCGGCTTGTTGCAAACCCAAAACCCAAATACGGGACAAAACCTCAGACCAAAATTAGCCGCGTACAGTAGAGCAGCCGCGCGCCTCGCTCTCATAACTCCACTCCTCACACGACTCGACAAACTGAAAGCCAGCAGCTGTAAACAGAAACGTTTGCTTACCTATAGCAGCATTTCCCTGTGGGGACAAAAAAACTGCATCCTTTCATAAGCCCTGTTTTGCAGTTTATGATCCTTGAATTGTTCTTGTTGCTATTTATACCGTGCATTCAGAAAAGCAGGAAACTTTTTGATTGCAATGAACATATTTCGTGTGCACAATGCTGCCTGCGGGGAAAAGTTGTTTCCTGCGGTGTTCAGAGGCACAAAACTGACCGAGAAATTCCTGCGACAACAAAACATACAGATTTAACCCTTCGTGGAGCGTCTGTTCTCTTAAATCTCTGCGCGTTCGGGATTTATTTCTGTTTCTGATTACTGTTCATGAAACATCTGCACTGATTGGCCACGAGGAAAGTTTGATTAAAGTAGATTTTTACAGGTTGTTTACAGTTTTAAGTAAATGCAACGTGCTGGAGATTGATCAGGTGGCGGCCATCTTGCATTAAGTCAGCTCCAAACGTTAGCTGACCTGAGTAGATATTTTGCTAATAAACATCGCTTAGCTTCTAAAGGGTGCTGTTTGTAAAGTTACAGTCAAAAATTACCACCAATATTTTTGTTTTTTTAGTCTAAGAAAAAAATAACCGATTTTTCAAAGTCAGTTTTCACCATTCAAACATTTATAAATGTCAGTTTATAAACTAAATATTTAACTTACAAACTAAATATTTAGCTAGCAACTTAAATATTTAGCTATCTAGCTAACTAAGCTAATTATTGAACTTGCAAGCTAATTATTGAACTTGCAAGCAAAATATTTAACTTGCAAGCTAAATATTTAACTTGCAAGCAAAATACTTAACTTGCAAGCTAAACATTTAACTTGCAAGCTAAACATTTAACTTGCAAGCTAAACATTTAACTTGCAAGCTAAACATTTAGCTCAAAACTAAATATTTAAGTCACAAGTTAAATATTTAGTTTATAAACTATGACTTTTCTAAATGTATGAATCATATGGTGAAAAACTGACTTTGAAAAATAAATCTGTTCTTTTTTTCTTATAAAAGACTAAAACAAAAACATTGGTGGTAATTTTTGACTGTAACTTTACAAACGGCAGCCCATAAGCATCTGCCTTTTTGCAACATATGACGGTTTAACAACTTTAAAGGCAGTTAGGACAGCTAAAAGTTATGTTTAGAGGAGCGCTTTTCCTGCAGAATTACAGCTAAATACGTACAGGCATGATGCAGTTCTGGCCATTAACCCGTTCATTGTTTTCCTGGTAGGAACGCTGTGCTGCTGCACACGTTCTCAGCTCTTCAAATATTCAGCAGCTTCACAGYGATGCTGGAGGATGAGTTACCAAACGTCACAAGTCTTCAGGTTCTCCATTATCTCACAGGTCAAATCTGTAACTTCAGACTAAAACCCGATAAAAAAGGTGGGATTTTATGTTTTTATTTTTGCTTGAATTACAACCTTTTAAAGATCCAGAGGAGAGGAAACCCAGAGGAGACGTTGGCTCTGAAGGAACGTGGGATATTCATGAAGCGTAATTGTGTGCAGATGTTAATTTTTAAACAGAGACGTATCAGGTGCACCTCCTCTGGCTCCTCTTGTCCTAATGAAACCTTTGGCCTGAGGAGGGAGGAAGAGGAGGAGGAGGAGGAGGTGGTGAGAGATAGCAGCACAGCTCCGGGCTCAGACTAATAAAAGGGGAYGGCACATGATTCTGCTCGCTTGGCTGAGTTTCAGGAGTTAAACCAGACCCCGCGAGCCTCCTTTACAAGTYCTGTAACTGTAGCACGGAAAAACTGAGCCTCTGCTCAGGTCCTGGTCCTGGTCCTGGTCCAGCACCAGAAAAGGTGGAGTTTGGTGACACTGGAGCGTCTCCTGGATCATTATTCTGGGACTGAGCCACCAACTCCACTGAAAACTTTAGGTAGTGATGTGCAGATCGATACTGAAATATCGATAGGCTACTACTGAAACCAGAACTTTATGTTCTAGAATCGATACTAAAATCAAAATATTGGTACTTTAGTTATTTCACATAATGTATATCAGTAACAGGAAAATAGTGGAAAATAACTAAACCATTCAAATCATGTCTAAATCATATGTGGTTGGAGGGAACTACTTTTTCTTCCWCTTGAGTAATAAGTCTGTAGGGGTATGGCAGGTCATTTTAACATAAAATCTGCTTCATCCGACTGTAATTAAATTCTAGATGAGGGGTTCCCAAGCATTAGCTCTGGCCAAGGACCTTCTTRCAAACCCACAAACAATTGAAAACACACAAAGTAACAACTTTTAGAATATTTCTCACTTTTATCCACTTTTCAAAAATTATTAGATTTCTTCAGAATAAGAATTGTGCTAAACAAATATAAAGTTAGGGTTAGAAAGACTTTTAAATTAAAGAAATTACTCTCTCATGTATTATTTATAAAGCTATTACTTGAAAAATGCTACTTTTTAAGAATAAGAATTGTGCTAAACAAATATAAAGTTAGGGTTAGAAAGACTTTTAAATTAAATAAATTACTCTCTCATGTATTATTTATAAAGCTATTACTTGAAAAATGCTACTTTTTAAGATTTAACAGACACATTATGTGTGTCACCACAAAGTATCGGATCAGTATCGTCGACACCAGCCACATTTTACTTGGTATCAGTATCGGTAAGAAAACTGGCAGTATCGAACATCACTACCTTTAGGAGCGGCGGCGGGCGACAGTTTTCCTACAGTGCAGGGTGCAAACAGGAGAGCTCATCTGAAGGGTTTATTTATAGCTGGGGGGCCGGGTTGGCGTTGGG